GTCCTGTTTAAGAAGGGAACTCTCTGAATTTCACTAAATACAAATTTCTAAAAGAGCTCTCCCGCAGTCACTCCCTCAGATCTTATTCGCGCTTTAATCACAAACAGTCCACAAGAGAAAGCAGGGCTTTGAGTGGTATATTCAGACGAATTCCGAAACAGATGTTGGACGATTGAGTAGATCTAATTACAGCTTTGTTTACAAGTTTTCACAGCCCCCACGAGGGACTGCGCTAAAGGTGCCCTGGACCAAAAACAATGGTCAGACTGGATCACGGCACGCGTTTGACAAAAACCACAGAGTCCGCGCTGGTCCGTAAACGTCGCCGGCACGTCTTAGACGCTAGCCACTGGATTTAATCATCTCAACAGTTGGTTGATAGGCTAGGATAGTCCCCTGATGTCTGAGTAAAGGAAACGGGACTGAAGTTGACACTGGAGAATCCATCCTCACGTGTCGCCACCTCATCCCTCGCTTTGCCAAATCCGATGCGCCTGGACTCATCTCGACGCAGAAAGTGTCGTGGCTTACAGAATGATAATGGACGGGATAACTGGATACTTCCAAGGACATAGAGAAAGGCTGCAGGGGCCCCCCTCGCTGTGTTCTTTGAGACATTTCCACTTATATCAAGTCGGGGCAGAGCTCACCCTCGTCCCGTGCACGCCATGGGGCCAGCTCGTGTGTGGTACGCGTAGACGGAATAGTCACCTCTGTCAGATACTGAGTACGCGCACACCTCATATCTGGACATTTTATTGCGGGTTAGAGCATGAAGAGCGAGCGAGTAAGGAGGGCGGTAGATGTCACTATGAACTAGTACATTGAGTAGATGGGCTAACTCATGAAATGTCGACCGAATTTCGGAAATGCGTTTTCGTTTCGAAAAGATTAATTAATTAGGGTTCTAAGAATAATCACCAACGACAAAAACTATATAACAATTTACCCACCTAAGGATGCCGTCTTTCAGACGAACTTCTTTTAGGTTGCACGTGAAGACTATACTCTAGTAAATATGGCTATGTATGTAGCATGCCTTTTCCGCAATGATTCTCGATGCCCTTAAAAAAATTATATTTCATGGAAAAAATGCATAGAAATATTCATTTTTTTACTCATTTGGCGGAAAAAATCGTCTTCTTCCAATTTCGTACTCGAAAGAAGTGTACAATTCGATTTTCAAAGGTTTCTAATTGTGAGATTTTTAATACCGTGAAATGGCCCTTTATAAAACATCATGTCTCTGAATTTACCAATGAGGCTTATGAAGTTAACTATATGGCTCAAATCCACTGCCAAATTTTATGAACCCTAAACGTGACTTGTTTAATTTCCGAGGAAATTAATGCGCGAACTTGGAGTAAATCTCTCGAAGCGGGCCTTTTTAGGCACGGTCCAAAGGTCCAAAGGCCCGTTTCAAAAGATTTACTCCAAGTTCGCGCAGTAATTCCCTCAGAAATTAAACAAGACAAGTTGAAGCTGGAGTTACTTTACCAGAAAACACACGAGGAAAGCTGGGGACCCAATGATGAGCCTAACCCCTCGCAGCTTCTTCAGGCAGCGGTATAAGATCGGAAAATTCGCTTGTATGGGCGTTTAGCTAATATCTGTGTTGTTAGTACGGTAAATCATTGCACAGATTCCCAAACGGTCTCCTCTTAATAACGTAGAGAACTGTAGGCTGTGTCAAGCGTGGAAGATATACGGCTTATAGTTCGGAAACCCTGAATGCAAGTGTAACGGCGGGTCGGGGTTCAAAAATACTCGGGAATTGGAAAAGTTTTAAAAACCGAATTATACCCTTCCTTCGAGTATAAAATTGGAAGAAGACGGACTTTTCTACCGAATGGGCAAAGAATGAACATTTTTATGCTTGCCTCCCATGGAATGTAATTGAATATTTAAGGGCATCGAAAACCAATGCGAAAAATATATTCGACATAAGTAGTCACTTTTACAAGATGTGACTTTCGGTTGCGGCCGAAAGTTCGTTCGAAAGCTGGCATCCACCGTTGGCCGGACCACGCGGCTTACAATTGTCCGTGCAACGGCACAGAACGCCAGATGAAAACTAGATCGTTTTGATCAGGCGTTAAAACCAAAAATGCAAAGCACTTCCCAACATCAAAAATCGATGAATACGATGAAAGTAGCGGCACAGTTGTCATACCCCACGTCCCTCAAACGTGCCATGCAGTAAATACGCTGCACCAACGCGAGAACAAAATTGGGGGTACGGCAGCCGTTATCGGGAATGCGCACCCATAACAAACGCGGACATTGGAGGTGTGAGGGGTGTGGTGGCACGCATAGGTGTGGATTTTCGCTGTGGCAGCCACCTGCGCCCTCTCCCGTTTTCGGTCTCTTTGACTCTCTCATGACACCGGCCCGGGCAAGGGAGGAGTGTGACACATGCTTCGAAAGTCTGCCACCATTTTAAATGAACTCACACGCAAGTCACCGTCCCTACAATCACCTTGCTACGGCGGATATCGTCGGTCACAACGGTCGAAATGTCGCAAGTCCACCCCTCCCCCCACCCCCGGTGTTAGAACGAACCTTCGAGTCAGTCCAGCAGTAATCTATTTCGGTGGACTCACATACTTCAAACGCCTTGCTAAAATCAAAACATCTGCTGAAAAGACATTCCGTGGCTTGGCCACCATGATAGTGGAGAACTACCGTACATCCAGTCTTGCATGCTGAACGCGCATATTTAATGTGTGAACTCAGAGGTTGGTCGTGATAATAAATTCAAAAAAGCCATCAAAGTCCAGACTGCATTTCAAGTCCTTCATAATGCGAAATGTTTGGAAGAGATACCTGCGCATTTACCTATAAACCAAAGGTATAAAATGTCGGTGCAGAGGGCGGGCTGCGTAAGGCAAGGAGCTTTGACCCTGAGAACTTCTGATGATCCTTTTTTGAACCCTTTCGAGACTGCCCATAGAAGCGAATAGGGGAGTCCCTGGAGGTCGTTCAGAAGACCATGAAGGTGCAATCACTTAGCCAAGGAGTGTATTAGCCTAACGTCGATCACAACGGTCGAAATATCACAAGAACCCCTCACCCCGGTGTTAGAACAAATGTTCGAGTCAGTCCAACAGTAATCCATTCCGGTGGACTCACATACTTCAAACGCCTTGAAAACTGACCTGTCCGTGTATATAGCTAGTTGTTTGACAAGCAAGATGGACCAACTACTAGTACTCTGTGAGTACATCATAGAAAGATTACAAATGTACTCAAATTTAGGGCATATAAAGAAGATCGAAACTCCTTTAATGCCCTAGCGCGTATCATCCAGTTCTCCGTGAACAGCCACTTTCCACTATTCAGTCATGGAAGAAGGTCAAGAACTTTGAAGTCTAAAGCCACGTCGACTCAAATTGCATAGCTCAAAAAGAGCCTTAAGAACATTAAAGAAGCTAATAAAGGAAACTGCTAGGAATAAGGAATCTCACGGTGATTGAAGATCAGACGGACGGCTCAAGTTGATAGCAATCCAAGGCGTTTAATTTTAGTGTGCTAAAAATGCCGATAGACGTACACACTACTATGCTAAGCATTTCAAGAGATACGGGCGTTAAAGTAGCTTTGGTGTAATTCTTGAGAAAGAAGAAAGGACCGCTTACTGGGAGAAAATAGAGCTTCAAATTATAGCGAAAATGATGCAGACTCATGCTCTCGTTTTAGTCCCCGACGTTTTCCGATAAAAAGAGCTACTATTAGGCGCTGAAAAAATCGGTCCATTAATTTCTGTCAAATTTAATGCAGACCTCTGAGTCGAGGTATGTCTATACGTACGTCGATTCAAAGCGAAAGCATTATTTCACGTTAAATAAGACTACTGCGCTGGGGTGCGGGCGTGGTAACGTGTTGACTTCAGATGAAAGGCTTCGCAGGCCAGTAACGAGAATCTCACCCGAAAAAAGCGTCATGCATGTACTGTGCAATTTCCCCTCCAATTTTTTAAAGCTTGTAGGACAGGTGCACGGTGAACTTTGTGAAAAATGTCTTTTTGACATCGCATGCTCCTTCTCCATGTGGCTCCTCTGCTACAGGTTAGATACTGGCAGCGCACCTCTTTTGTGTGAAATGCTGGTGTTTTGTGCTGGCCAGGTCGTGGGAGTGGCATGCACAGAAAAGCCTGCACCAATCGCATCAACAGTTGGCTGGCCGGCAGGCCAAATGGTCTATGCCATAGAGTAGTGAGTGAGGCCGACGGCTCAGCGTATTTTCCTCACTATAAACAATCTGACGCGCTCGAAACTATCATGGTGCACTAGAAGCCATGGATTGGAAGGCTGCCAATTGACGACTCAACCCGGACCACGCAGTCAGCTCAGTGTGAGTTTTCCGCTGACTGGGTGTCAGACTACAATAGCTCCTTCTTAATTTGGCCTTTATGGCACTCCCACTTAGCGGGGATCTGAGGCGCTCCTTCCCTTGCTGACTGAAAGCCTGGTCGTTTGGCTGCAGAACAGGGGGTGGCGGCACGCCCAAGTGCGGGCTCGAGCCTCGCCGGTCGCCTAAGCCTCTTTCTCGCCTCCGGTCTTCATAACAGTTACGACACCAGGCCGAGTTGGGAGGAGAGATTGCGGTAGGTGCAGCACAAGCTCATGGCAGTTCGCTCCCTTGATCACCACCGCCGCTCCATGTTGTCCTCTTGTATGTCCCACGCTCCCCGTCGATTCGATGTTGGGGCCCAGCGAGGATTGTCACTGATCTAGCAAGTGCTCGGAGCCAATCAGTGCTGCCCCTTAGCTGAATCTCTTTGGTCGGACAAAACTCAGACAGCACACCTGAAGAGGCGGGTTGCAGCGACTGTTTGCTGAGTCTTCTGAGCACTCAATATTCCTCGGGATTGATTGCTGTCAACTTAGAGGTATACAGTTCTAAATACCCCGGGCAAGGCTGTTGCCTAATGGACAGAGACAGGACGACATTGTCTCCCGAATCGATGCTGCCCGCTGGGTGTTCTCAAGCCTTCGCATATGCCTGTGAACCGACGTGGCCTCTCCATCGCCACTAAGATTCGAGTGTACCGTGCATCTGTCCGGTCTGTCCTTCTCTACGGTTGTGAATGCCGGGATTTGTGCGTGGAGGACGAGCGAAAACTGGAGGTATTCGACCAACAATGCTTGAGGACCATCCTTCGAGTGAAGTTCGCCGACTTCGTCTCAAATGAGACAGTCCGCGCTCGCTGCGACAACATCGCAAGGATAACCCAGGCCATCCAAGGAAGACGACTGAAGTGGTTCGGGCACGTTCTTCATCGTCCACCTCAGGAGCTCAGTGTTACTGCCCTCGATCCGGCACCGTTGCCCCATTGGAGGCGTCGAAGAGGGGGTCAGTTAAAAAGCAGGCTCGAGACAGTTCGCCAAGACATGGAGGTGGTTATTGGACCTTCGGTATTCGGTCTCCGTCGTTGGCAAACGGAATGGGTTGAGCTGTTTAGATATCTCGCCGCGGATCGTCACGCGTGGAGAGGTACAGTTTGTGACATGATCGAGGCCGGCTAGATCAGGCATGATCGCAGCCGTATCAAGTGTAAATACTCTTTCACAACAGTAAAGCTTCTCCTGCGCAATCTGTCTTCCATGACTTGTGATTTGGGAACCATTGTATTGCTGGTCACTGGAGACTCTCGAGTCATGCCCCCATCTCGGCAATTCGATCATATCTATACACTAATTCACGCGTAAGTCACTGTCCCTACGACCATCTTGCCGTCGGGCAAACGGTGGACATCATCGGGATCGATGACCGTAATGCCACCTGGGGTGACTGTCTTGGGTTTGCGTTGATTTTTACCAGTGTGAACGCCTTCTATCCACTCTGCGTTCTCCGCTGTTCGGAAGGTTTCTCAACTGAATGTCAGGTGTTTCTACCAATAAAAGTTAATAAATTTTATGATGCTCGAACGAAGACATCTTCTGGTACTCGTAAAACAGAAGAGCTTGTGGCGATTAACGTTGCATGCTTTGTAAGCCAAATTGGCCTACATGCGGGCATGCTCAGATAGTTATGAGAGAATTTCAGATGATCCCACAACAAATACTACCGCTTCTAAGAGCGAAATTCCCCTTACTTTGGCCTACAAGCAAGCACGATAAGTAAAAATATTGAGCGGCGTGAACACAGATTTGAGGAAATCGTAAGCAAAGAAAGATCAGAAACCAAAGGAGAGGTAGGAACTGACTAAGGGTCATCCTAAGCGTAGTTTGCGTAGGCGAATGACATCTATGAATTAAGCAGGTCTAAGCAGATCAGGACTGCAACCCCTAACTCTAGTGATATGTCCCTATCGAAATCGCACGCGAATATCGTAGAGGGGCGCTCAACGATCGTTTTTGCGGGACGCACTCGTCCCGTCTTGCCTTGCGGGCTCTCTCTCGATCCCAACCAGCAGACGCACAGCGGTGCATGATGTAGGCAGGATGTTACTACCAACAAAGACCAGGAAGACTGGAATGGCCACTTCTGGCTTATTAGACGTCAGCCAGTCATAACAAACCCCGAAGTGTGGAACACCTGTGGCTCGATCCCACGACCTGCTATAGTTAGAAGTCCAACGTCTCCAACCACTGAGCCACAGGCTTGTTGCCCTGTCGGTTGCGATCGCGAATGTACAATGGTAGAGGGGCGCTCATTGACCGTTTTTACGGTGCTCACTCGTTCCGTTGTGCCTTAAGCCAGAAATGGCCATCCCAGTCCCCCTCGTCTTTGTCGGTAATAGCATCGCAGTCATTCAGCGAAAGAAGATTAAAGCTGACGATCCCTCGGCAGAGCTCCATTTAAATAGTTTGCCCTAGAGGCTTTAAAGGAGCCATTTCACTTAGAAAAGTTAAAACTATAAAAAAATCCCGCAGACGATTTCTCACGATCCTAGGGAGTTTGTGAACAGAAGGAATCAAACTGCTGTATTGCACACACATATTCATCGAGGGCAATTGAAAGCAAATGAGTACAGTAAAAAGGTCTGCAGTGAATGTGAGTTTATCCATGTGAGTCCAGTTCATCATATATACAGAAACCCTGTCAGAGCGCGTAGAGGGCTCAAGGGGAAGTTGACTGGCAAGCCCAAGGTTGGCATATTGATAGTGATTGTGATGACGATGACAGAAAAGACTTCATAGATTAAGTTAAGTAAATACTGACAAGAGAGTAGGTAGGGAAATGACTATATAATGTACATTGCCTCTTGGCCTGGAAGGAAAAGAGAAGATGCAGTGCACTATCTACATCACCCCAAACCTAGCGTGGGTTGTTGTGGCTACGGTGGCGCTGACTGGAACGGGGGTTCCCGCGACCGCGGGGCTGTGACCTGTTGTCACTGCTGCTGGCAGAGGCCAGTCGGCGCGACTGGGAGCGTGTCCTCGGCGGGTCACCATCCACCGGACCGGATTCGAGGTAGCGTGCGTAGAAAGCGTGCAGCGGCGTGGGCAGAAAGCGTTCATCGCCCTCGTCCAGACCGCCATCAGCATCCTGATCGCCGTAGAGGCCATCTTCAGGGGATTCCATTGACCAATCGTAGGGATAGAAGTCGGGATCATCCTCGGAGTCCTCATCCTCAGATTCGTAGAAGCTGACATCCTCCAGGTAGGTGGCAGCGCCTCGGCTGGAACTAAGGGTGCGTCTGGGATGTCGACGGCGACCGACCGGCGAACCATCTTCCTCATCGTCCTCCTCTTCCTCGTCGGAGGATGTTGTTGTTGTAGTAGTGGTTGAAACGTCAGACACCACCTCGGTGTATGAAACGGCGGGAACAGGACGTCGGCGTGGAAACTGAAGAAGTGATAAGATAACAATCGGGAGATGGCACCCAAAAAATCTGTTACATAGAGATAATACCTTTAACAGTGGACTCAAACGCCTTCAGGCTATATCAGCGGTTGCAGGCCTAATTTCAAGCACTACTTGGACTTTGAGCAACGGCCTAGCACGGGCTGGCCGAGCGAACATCGCAGGAGGTTACAAGGACGATGGTCGCTGTTACCCAACCTCCTCCGTCGTTACACACGTACACCTGAATATACGGCATACATTCGCATTATGGCAGTCTATTGCAAAACAAAATCACTTTTAAATAGGATAAGTCTGCACAGCATGGAACAGTTCCCAGGCATCTGCCAAATACCTGACATTGAGGCCAAACCAAAGACGATACTGTACTTCGTCTATGTGAGCCCACACAGCTCGACCCTATACAGGGCCTCCCTCGGGGAGTTTCCTTTTCAGTCTACTCCAGTATGCCTCAGTGGCATTGGTGTGCCGTCCGGTGGTAGGGTCCTTGAAGCTCTTTGTGTGGCTAACAGAGAAATGTAAATAACCTGTGGGAAGGCGATTACACGCCTTCTACTCGTCCGTTACCACTATACTGCTTTGACGACCCATTTTGTAATAACGGAACGGAGAGCGGGAATACTTCGATCAATCACCTGTTCAAATAAGCCTTTCCGTCGGCTAGTATCGTACATCCCGATCAGCCACCATCCATAAAACCCCTATTACCACCTGCCCCGTAAGACAGGCTGCTTTGGTTAGGCGGATTTTTTGGGTGGCATCTCCCGACGGCTACCAGTGATAGCATTCACAAAGATACACGACAGCAAAAAAGTAATGTCAGAATACTCGACCAGGATGGATCGCGTAACACGGACGAAAGATGAGAAGGTAAAAATCCGGACAGAAATCGACTCAAGATTGAATATCCTGCACCATTTAACTGCCAATAATCGAGGCACATGAAAGAGCGTCAAGAGTTAGGACGAGGGAAATCAAGCCTAGGATTCCTGAGAAGATGCGACCGCTGAAACAAGAGGTTTACCAGCATAACGTCCCGGATTCTCATTCCAACCCATCATCAGAGACAGTCGTGGATACGCGCGATGGAGGCACAACGAGTGCAGTATTGATGGGACGCAGCTGCCATGCTAATTACTCTGGCCAGGAAACGTCTGAGAGATAATTGGCAATGGGAAAGAATTCTCAACTACTTTATTTAGGACCGGATATTTTTTTAGCTACACATTCAAAGAAACCGATATATTTTATTACCAAACGAGAACCGACGGAAATCAAGCGTGTGCTTAAGTGAACAATAAAAGTGGTCAAACTGCAACTGAGGAAGGGCGCGATGTACACGCGTAATCTATTTTTTCTTCAAGGGTAGCAATCACTGACGGAACGGCGGAGCGGTTTGTAAAGGTAACCTCAGAGAACGCCGAAATAACACTGGACGCAGAAGGCGGTTGTTATTGGCCGTTACTGTGGACGCGCCAACAAACGCACAGCTGACTTGGCTTAGACATATCCACATTGTAAAAAATTCACACGGCAGTATTCAGAAGACTAGATGGCGAGCATAGGTTCGTTTTCGGCGAATTCTCGTCTAGCCAATACAACTATATGGGAACGGAGTAGAAGTCAAATGAGTTAGTGGTTAGAAAAATCGATAAAGGTTTGTTTTAAAACGCGGGCGGTGTGAGAGCGGAAGGGCACGAAGGTTGCATGAAGATGGTGTAACGGCCCTTAACCTGAACAGGGTCTAGGATGGAGATTGCGTAATCCTGTGCTGGTGAAAATTGCCGATGTCCCTTCCCCTCACTTCTGCCGACCCCTTTTCCCGGATCGTACCGTGACTCTCGTACTCCTTCTCTCTACGTCGGCACCTCCCTCGACCCTTCCCTGCGGTTGCCCACAGCGCTGCTTTCCTCACCGGTTAATTAGCTGGCATGTCGGTATCGCCTCTCTCCCCAGACAGGTTACTCCAAAATTGTAACTCGTCCTGCTTGTACTATTAACAATTATTATACACGCTTCCCGTGCTCATCTCGTTATCTTATACTATATCCCTTACTCGACTTACCTTCTTCTCCTGCGTGTGAATGAGTATCAAGAGATGTTCAGATCTATCTCCTCCAGGATCTCCTCTTAGCTTTGCCTTACTTTGGTGTGTGCTACACTTAACGTCCTCGGCCGCTACACTGCTCGACCTTTGACTACGGTAGGTGCAGAACCTGAACGAAATTCTTCTGCGCGCACAATGCCGGCTTCCATAATCTGATTGTGGTTGCTTTTGTTGTCACTACTAGATGCTGGCCCAGTAGTTTAGGGTAGCTCGGGAGGACCTTATAAATCACAGGAAAAGCCTCGCTGAGGTCCACACGATGTCCGGAATTAACAGCATGCGCGAGAATGGCGCTGCTTAGGCTCCTTGTTTCGCTACGCTAATGGCATCTTTGCCATTGCTACCACGGGAACCGAGGTAGCCGCCCTTTTAAATGCTGTGCACCGGGCACATCTGTCGATTACGTTAAGGTTGGAGATGGCAGCGGTTGATTCGCTCGCTTCCTTAGATAGTCCTCTAATGAGGAGACCTGACGATAGCGTACGAAGGAGCGTCTATCGAAAGAACAGCTGGTCTACACAATACAAGAACTTCGGCAGTTTCGCGCCCCTCCAACAAAAGTGATATCTATGCTACAATTTGACGCAAAGGGCTAGCAAGATTTGTTTG